TTTTAAACTATCAAAGCAAACTAGTGTTCTAAAAAACGTAAATCGTGGAGGTCAAGTTTTGGCCTAGGCATTAAAAGCGCAAAAAAACAATTTCTTATTTTAATATTATTTTAAATTTTTAAATCAATTTAGAAATTATGTAATAGTTAAAGGAAAAAAGTGTTGAAAGGCGTAAGAAAAGCACACGTTAGGCTTGCCTAGACAATCAAAAAAAATAAAAGAAAAATGAAAAAGCCCATAGTCTAGACGTTGCTTTTTAAAACACTACAACAAACACTAAAAAAAATATAATACGCAAGCTTGACGTTGAGTTCTCTTCCATGTGTGGACTTATATCAAATGTCAATTAATTCAAGATGATAACATTTTGATTTTTCTAATAACGACAAATAAGAAAAATGACGCACTTGTCGGTTGTTTGTATGAAGTAGATATTAGTTTGTCATTAATTTTATGACACTGAAATGTTGAAGAAGACCATCTTGGATCATTGTAGATCTGATTCCCTCAAACGCGTTCTTGAACCTGTCGTTTTACTAGTCTTGATTCCCAATGGCCGGTTCCAATTGAATTTGTTTCATCTCGACTTTTTAAGTCACAATTTTTTAAGTTGGTTCTCGTTTTCTCGTTTTAACCCATCTGATTACCAAAAAAATTTATTAGGAAGTGAGACAAATTCCTTGATTTGTGGCATATGATTTTTTTTCCAGAAAATATCACAAAGAAAAATAAATATATAGAGAAAACAACGCTTCATAAAGAATTTTTGGCTCATGCCCCAGTATCGTAAAAAAAAAATATTACATATATTTTACCACACCCAAAAATTCTACTCTTGTTGTACAACCATGAAGAAAACAAGAAAAACACCATGATGTTAAAAATTTTGCCAACTTTCCATGGTCAATAAATATTGGAGTCTTTTTCTTCCAATAAACCAAATGGACAGTCGATTGGGAAAGTTTCAATTGTACAAAATATTTAAACCCAACATGTGGAATTACACAATTAAAAGCAACATATCACTTTTTAATTATTTCTAGATGATTAGGTCAACCAAGTTAATTTATCCTAAATTTGAATACCGCAATTTGTAAAAACGTTGGGTACTTTATCACTCAACAGTCCACTATATACGATGAGACTTACAGTACTGTCAAAGACTTTCTTCCTCTATTCATCTTCGCCATCGTGAACTACGTCCTGTTCACACCAGCTCTTGACCCCTAGTATCGTTTATCTCCTGTGGACCTCCAAGAACGAACCTCTTTCTTCAGCGTTGGAACTCCAAGAACCCCTTCCCAAAACTCCTGCAACTTTGAAAGCTAATTAGTGAAAGTAGGTTTTGGTGTTTGATCAATGATCTTTCTGTATTTTGATCTTATAGGGTGACACATGAATATTGGAATATGTATATGGATTTCAAAAAATAAACTCTTGACTTACAAGAAAATTTTACTAATAAAGAATCAATATAAGAGATCAAATAAATGAACAAAGATTTTTGGGGTTGAATCAATAGAATCAATGGAATGCATTTATGATCCTCAACAATGGAGTGAATTAGCCAAATAGTCGCTGAACTTTACGCCAGATTTCCACCAGGTCACTAATCTTTAAAAATCACACAACTCATCACTGAACTTTGTAAAAGGTTTTCACGTGGTTATTGAACTTTAAAAATCACTCAACTCATCACTAAGTTTCACGTGGGTGTCGAAGGAGACTTGATTTTAGCAGCCATAATTAATGGGTTGAGTGCTAAAATTTATATGCTAGAGCAAGCGGAACACCGATGGTGAAACCAGTGCTGCCTGACTGAAAACAAAATTTAACCGAAGAATCAAATCCAGATATATTTCAATTTCAGCATTACATACAAAATCGGACTGTAACCATATGTCATGTGAAGAATATTATAATTTGTATATAATAAATATGTTTCTATTACGAAGTAAAAGACCCTATTTATAGGACTATAAATAACTCTAAAAGGAAATGCAATCAAATTGAGTTTGAAAGATAAATTGATCCAATCAAATCTTCAAAATTGCTTGTATGCGAACCAAGCCGAACAAATAACTCAAAATTGATGATAATGAAAAATCATCATCCACCAATCTAACCGAACTATCACCAAGACTTGAAGGAGAAATCAGATGATAGTCAATCTCAATGCGGGTTGGAGAAGAAGAAAGAATACACATATCTGCAAGTAACAAACGCATCCACTACTAAACCAAATGGATGCAAATTTCATATCCAAATTAATTAGATGCAAATTTCAAATTCGAGATCGACAAATACCAAGTAAACTGGATGCAAATTTCAAATTTCGGATACACCAAACTAACACCAAATCAAATTCCAAATGAACTAGACATATACTAAACCAAATTCCAAATAAGCTGCACCAAATTCCAGATTACCAAAAGTTGAATAAACTCCAAACAAGTTTAAGTGGAGAAAACGCCCAACTCCGAACAAAAAAACCCATATATTCCACTCTAAAATCAAACCAATTAAATAATTAGCCAAATTACTCCAACAGCCCAATAAATTCTCACTACCTAAGTTCAATCAATTATCTCACCAATTTAATAGCCCAAGCAAAGTAATGGCCCAAATAAATTATCACGGCTGAACAGGAATAAAACCTCTGAAAATGCATCCGAAATCTTCATTCTCCCAGAACGTAGCTCTCTCTGCAACCTGCTCACAATGTCGCTGACTAAACTGAGGAACAAAGCTGTCGAAAAATCAACATGACTAGGTCTGCTACTTATCTCCAAGCGAAGACCCAAAACCATAACCAATCATTGTCTTCTACACAAATCAAAATTTGAAGGCCAATTGATTTCAAAATCACATATTGACTGATCTCCACACCAAATCACACAAAACCTCACAAAAATAACAGATTTGTTTGCCAATATTTCACCTCCGGCATCAAAGATGAAACAGACCAAACCTAGAATTTTGAAAGACAACAACCTAGAAAGCAGAGTACCCAAAGGCAGAACCAAACTTTTCCTCTTGAATTTATCCAGATCTCAAATTTGGAACATTATGCTTTCTGGTGCTGCAGAAACTGAGTTCTGGCCACCGGAATGTGATGCGACTTTGTAGGGATACATCTGAAAAGAAAACATAAAAACAATATTGGTAGTCGAATGGCCGCTCGCCGAAAATGAAATTCAAATGTTAATTTGTTTAGGATCGAAACTGCACTGATACCATGTAAAGAATATTATAAATTGTATATAATAAGCGTATTTTTATTACAAAGTAAAAGACCNTAACTTTAAAAGGAAATATTGCATAATAATTATACAATCAACTATTAAGGAAAATAATCATACACTATTGAAAAAATATTATAGAGATTATTCTTTCCATATCTTTAACAATATACATTAGTACAGGATTCTCCAGAAATATATTTCTCGGTGTATATTTTGTAAAGAGTTTTCCGTCCTATTTGTACAACGAGAGTTACATTTCCTTGGATATTTCTCTTTTATCTTTTTTCTCAAACTATGAAGGACAATCCTTACCATAATGTGAGAGGGTGAATGAGAAGTACTATCGTAAACTCCACGAGCGAATCAAAAATGCTATAAACTTACACCAATTTACACTACACGGGCGTTTTCATTAAGCTTCTTAATGTTAGATCCCATGCTATGTCTATGTATCCCATTGTGGTATTATTTTGGATAAAATGGTGGTAAGAGAAAGGCACACTTTGCTTCTGCCACTCATTACCACAACAATAAAGTGGTCATGCTGCCCTTGAATTGGGAAAGTGAATTCAAAACCAGATTGATAGTAGTGCCTATAGTTGGTGGCGTTGTCGTCTATTCAGTCACTGAAAGAGACTGCAAGTCTGCAAATAAGATACGTTCACCATCAAGTGAGTTGGCCAAAGTGATGTAGGAGGATCCGAGTCAGACGAGGTTGAGCTGTCTGATAGTACGTTAATGGTGCTGAGATACCATGAGTTGGCGGATCAGCGCAAAATTGGCAAATAATCATCGACCTTTCCTAATTAGGGCCTTTTTGGACACGTTTCGGTATTTTGGCTATAACTTTAGCTACGGTTGTCAGAATCACGCCCGTGACCCTAATTTGAAAAGCTCTTTTCGGCGCACACCTCGTGGTCATGGAGCTTTCCTTGGTGTGCATCGATTTCGAGGCCAAATTCAGCCAATTTTCCTTCCGAATCATCAATTTAAGTTTTTTTTGCCATTTTTAGTAATATTTTAATTTCCTTTTTGACATAGATTACGATCTGAAATTAAACCAGATTTTTGGGATCTTATTTTCATCATTAAGTATTTCCTTTCGGTATGAATTATAGGATTTTGCTATTTTTGGTAAAATTTTGAAAATTATTATTTTCCAGCTATTTAACCCGGCTTGTGGGTTATTTTCGTTCAGTTGTTGAATAATAAAGATTTTCTCGTTTCTCTTGGTGTTATTCTCTTGCGTTTTTCTCTGTTATTGTCTATTGATTTCAGCCTGCAGAATAATCACTATTCTGCCCGGCGTCAAAATATCGAACAGGACCAAGACGAACTTGAAGTAGAAATTATATACAAAAAAATAATATCTGAAGTGTCCCTGCTCTACAGTTGCCTAAATAATGGGAAAATACATTTCTTGTGGGTATAATCAAGACGAAATAGTTGAGCAATCAATTATGATGGTATTCTTCTATCCCGTGATTGAGTATGCAATAATTCTTTTCATTGAGGGTCCATTTATATAACGATACAAATGTCTCCATCATCCCATAGTGTATAATTTATATTTTATGAATCCATAGATGGAATCTTCCTCTGAATACAGCACATGAACTTTTGTTATTTTATGGACTGTTTGCAACTCATTTAATCAACCACCATTGAAATCATATCCATAGTATTGAGCTGCAAGTCAGCTCTTCAATAAAAATAATACGAAATTTACTGAACAGTTATTGGATCACAAGTTAGTTAACTATTTTTCTCCGAAATCATTTCAGTGGACAAACTTGCGGCGACAATTGGACTTCCAACTGAATGCTTGCCATCGGTCTGAACCCAAGTCAATGACCCGTAAATCAATGTATCCTGCAAGAGTCTTGGACCTTGTATTGTGAGCTTGTAGCTTTGTTTCTCGTACTTCTTGCTGAACACCAATTTTTCAGGCTCCACGCTAACTTTTAATCCATCCAATGGTGTCAATTTTGCTACGTAGGTTGATGTTCCATCTCCAATGTTAGTAACTGTTCTTTGAAAGTATTGTACTGTCTCAGCATTGGAGTTGGTGTCGTTTATGTTGAAGTAGGCAATGAAAGATGGATAATTCAGGTCGAGTGATGGATTAGAGCAATTATAAGAAGGTGACCTTGTGATGGTTTGTATCTGTTTTGAGGTGAGATTTAATGCACAAAGAAGATTAATATAGTCTTCTACATTTGCATCATATACAAGTCCCGGGTCCAATGCTTTGTTAGGATTGATATGGCCAGCTCCCATAGCAAGAGGAGTGGCAGGTTGATTATTGTATCCAATGTCTTGGATTGGATTTTTCGTGTTGTCAAATACATCAGCAGTGGTCATCATTGCTGATCGAATGGCTGCAGGACTCCAATCGGGGTTCACTCCTTTCAGTAGGGCCGCCACTCCAGCGGCATGTGGGCATGCCATTGATGTTCCAGATATAATATTGAACATATTGAAGAGTTGGACTGAACGCAAATCTGCGACCGGAGATTTCTGAGGCCATGAAGCCAAAATTTGAGCACCCGGAGCCATGATATCAGGCTTCAAGACAAATGGACAGCTTGGTGATGGTCCTCTTGAGCTATAGCTTGTCACTTTTGGAGCTGATTTAATCCCCAGTAGAGTCTGTTTAAACTGAACGCTTGCTTTGGGATCAGACTCGCTCTTGATGTAGTCCAAAATTTTTTGACCTTCGACAAGATTGAAAAAAGCTGATGGAAATCTGCTTTCGGTTAAGAACTCTAAATCAGTGTTGTTTGTTATGAAGAACCCACCAATGACTTTTGCATTACCCACAGTGTAAAATTGTTCATTCAGCTTATCATTAGTGTCGAGACACACAACAGTCTTGTTCCCAATTTTCTTCAATTCCTTCTCATTTTCGCAATCCACGAATGCAATTGGGAATGCATCAGATGAAGAAAAGTTTCCTGGGTAGAGAGACAAACCCCCAACAGAGATTCCATTTCCAAGTGTCAAATTGGCCCCGAATTTGCGATCAACTGTTCCAGCAGCAACATTGAGGACCCAAGGTGTTCCATTGTGCAGAGTTCCAATGTATGGACCCTCATTTCCTGATGAGGTGGAAACAAATATTCCCTTTTCCATGGCTGCAAACGTAGCTATGGCAATGGGATCTGCATATAGAGGAAGGCCATCTATTCCCAATGATAAGGATAATACATCCACCCCATCCATGATTGCCTGATCAATTGCAGCCAGAATGTCAGATGAATAAACACCTTCGTCCCACAAGGCCTTGTACATGGCAATTCGACCATTAGGAGCCATGCCTCGTGAAGTCCCTGAGGCATAGCCAAAGAATGATGCGGCCTCAACAAAATTCCCAGCAGCTGTTGATGAAGTGTGAGTCCCATGCCCGTCAGTATCTCGCGCAGAATTCATGGCGATGGTCAAGTTGGGGTATTTTGCAAGTAGGCCTTTATTGAAGTATCTTGCTCCAATAAGCTTTTTGTTGCACATGGAGGAATTAAACTGAGTGCCACTTTCACATTCCCCTTTCCATCTCGATGGAATTTCAGTCATTCCATCGTCTCTATAGCTTTTACTCTCGGGCCAAACTCCGGTATCCACCACCCCAATTATGACATCTTTTCCATAGTCTGAATCTGGCCATGCCCCTTGGTTAGAATTCAGGCCGAGAAATTGGTACGAATGAGTGGTGTCAACTTTGACACTGGTATCCTTAACTGAAGAAACATAACCCGGGGAATTTCTCAAAGATTCAAGCTCAGAAGGTGAGAGAGTTGCACTAAAACCATTCATAACATTAGTATAAGCATAGACAAGTTTAGAAGACGACACGAACTCTGTACTGGTTTCAATACTATTTGATATGGAGGCAAGAGTGGCCAAGTACCAGTTATGGTGGCTAGAAAAGGCTTTGGGCATTGATGATAAGTCCATATGGACAATATAAGTGTCTGATTCCGCCAAAATTTGCACAACATATGGAAATGTGACACAGAGGAAAAACAAACGCAAAGAGATATGAATTGCCATTTTTCAGCAAAGAAATGGGATATTCTTTAAACTAAAGCAAGTTTACATATATATATAGAAGAAAAGGGTATGGAGCTCCAAAGTTGATCCTTACTCCACCTTCTCTATTTCTTGGTCCATAATATGGTATATAGATCTCCACCCCACCCACCCCCCTACCCCTACCCCAAGAAGGGACCTCTCCATTTTTTGCCCATTAAGTTGAAAACGTGCTAGATGCTAAAATGTCAAGTTATGGCATTTCATTAAGGTCTAGGGGTATAATATAGGTGTATGAAGAATAAAATTTTGTTCTAAAAACATAAGTTACGTGACCATTTTAAATTGTTATAAACACCAGAACAGTTGGCTGTGGGCGGACATATATTTTTATAACAATAATCTGCCCGCACCCCTCCAAATTCCAATATTGTAACAAAAAATTAAATAAAAATAGGAACCTAAAATGTAAAATAGGCAATGGATGTATGCATCAGCGTGCGGAATTCAAATTCACGGGCACAATTATATTAGAATATTGTATGGTCCACCAAACTAAGACAAGTTTGGATAATGAAATGAACTTGACAATTAGCATTACGTTTGTTACACTCAATTATTCAATTATGAGACAAAATTCATACTTTATGGCAAGATGGGCTACTCTCCATGAGATTGAGCGTGCCCAAGTTTATATTACCCGTTTACCCCACCCTAGGTTATTTACAAACAGTGTGGAGAGATATTTAATTAAGGGAAGATATTTGGAATTATTTTATTTTATTTATTTTTTAACCACCTCACAAATGGATTAATTAATAGAGGTAAAACATAGTACATAATTAGGATGGAGGCTCGGGTAAACCTCCAGCCAATACTGTTAAAAAAAAAAAAATTTATCTAAATTTACTTCGTTTGAAGACAGAGAACACAATGTAATAGTTTAAGAGCTGATGCAGGAGGTTCCGAGTCAGATGATGCTGAATTGTCTGATAGCTCATTGATGGACCTGAGATATCAATATCATGAGTTGATTTATCAGCCCAAAAATGGCAAGTAATCGAAGATCTTTTCTAATTGGAGTCATTTTTGGACACGTTTCTATATTTTGGCAATAACTTTGGCTACGGTTATCGAAATGATGCTCATGACCCCAATTTGAAAAGCTTTTTTCGGCATGCACGTCATGGTCATCGAGCTTCGCATCAATTTCAATGGCAAATTCTGCTGTTTTCCTTTCCGAATCTCCAATTTAAGTTATTTTTTGCATTTTTAAGTAATATTTCAGCCTGCAAAATAATCACTATTCTGTTCGACGTCAAAAAGCTACACTTCATTTGTCCTAGTCAATATCTTCATTATAATATGTCTAGCGTTTCTTTGGCTCTTGGTCATTTTTGGACTCACTGCTCGAATGAAATTTCGTAAATTTGTTATCATACTCAAAATTTGAAAAGTCCGTAGCTTCGTTGCAATCTCCATGAATATATCCAGAAGAGTCTCCGGTGTATTCGATAGAAAGGTTGTACCTTTATTTTGACCTCGCTTGCATGCCTTAAAATCGGATGGTGGAATAATCTCTCTTTCTTAGCACCATACAATTCTATATCCAATCCCATATTGCTTAAATCATTTTTAACAAATTGCTAGACCTGATTTTTTTCATCTCTTTAGGATCAGGTTTAGGGTGATTAACATGTTCCAACAATATCATAAAATCACCTTCTTCGTGTTTCTCAATTACAGAAGAAATTGAAGCAAGTAAATTTTTTATTTTGAGAGTTTGATAAGAGTAACTTTTACAAAGAGGGATATAAATGAATTTGTCCATGATGAGTTTGTATCGGATTCAACTTTTTCGCTTGCTTATTTGTTTAGCGAAGAAAATTAACTTTAATCCTTGAAAAGTAAACATACGGTACAAGCAACCCTATGAGTTGTTCAAAGCTCTGTTATTTTGTTACAAGTACTTTCCAAAACGATCTTATTCCATGTTGATAATGCTGAATTTGTTTACATTATCGGAGAGTCGAGAACCAGGATATGTCTAGGAATATTTTGTTGGGATTTTCTTCCTGCATGCGATTGTTCCTTATGGTGCAAGAAAGATGGCAAAACTTGTTCATGTATTGAACTGATAAGAAAAATTGTCAAATTTTCCATCATTAAAGCATCCGAATGAAAGGGAAAACTAGGTCAAACGCGCATAATTATTTAATATAAATAGATGATTGTTTTTATCTTTTCAGTACTGGACTTGAGGGTTTTAGAGGAAAATTTTAAGTCTAACACCTCAATTTTCCTCTCTTTGTGGGTTGTTCAAAGAGTAGAAATTGATGGACATGATAAAGCTTCAATATTATTTGAATAATGCTATTTATCATCGAAATGATGGAATATCGGTGATGTGGCAATCCATTATTTTTCACATTTATCTCTCTCTCTTGCTCATAAAATTGAACTGTCTAATCCAGTAATCCCATTATACAACATAGATTGTCACATCACCGATATTCATAATGATAAATATCATTATTCATATTATTTGCCTTATGATACTTGGGGATTTGATATGTGAAAATTCTATACGATTGTGCAAAATTTTCGTATAGTGAAATAATTTGACCTCCCGTAATTTTTCTTTTTTTCTTTATATATATATTTATTGTCTCGTTATTTTTCTCTATACAAGGATGCCTTTGGGCAAACAAAAGAGAATTGACCTCAATTGCCAAAATAATTAAGTGTTGAACTATTTTAACTAAAATTTTAAGTTACTAAAGGAGATGAATTTATTTCTTATTTACTGGCAAAATCCTCATTAAAGTTTCCCTCTCTTTGCTCACTGGAAGTCAGTGAAATAGCAGAGGAATGCTCTAAATTTGGTCCACAAATAGTGATTGGGGAAGCTACGGCCAAGACAAGGAACTACCATGTGCTTAACTGCACAATGACAGTAACTTTATATAAATCCAAAAAATGAAGTGTTCAATATTTATGGAAGTGGAAGTCTTTTTCGACTCCCTGGATTACTTGGTGTGTACATGATAACTTTTAACAGCACATATGCATAAAGAAATAAGTTGATTATTACTTTTTTGACAATGGCTTCAACTTTATGGTTAAAAAAAATACTTTTTTTACGTACCAATAGCAAAATATAGTTAAATTATTATTATTATTTTTAAAATCTTGTTAATTCTGTTCTCTACTATAATCGTTGTTTAAACTGGTTCCGGATTATCCACTTTTCGATTAATTGGCTAATTGGTCGATTTTTTTACCGATTTTAAATTAGGTGGTTTTAAGGATTAGTCGGATTGAACATTGGAATGATTCTCAATTTTTCCGATTGAATCGACTAGTCTGATCCAATTTTCTTAACATTGAAAAACATATAAAAAAGTTAGAAATTCATAGGTTAGTAATCCTGTAAATTTACTCAAGTTCACTACGTGATCATAACATGTGCGTACATTTTCTATAAATTGATCGTCTTAGCTTGACTTGTTTTAGGTGTGCAAAATATTGAATCTAATAAATTGAAGTTGTAATCCATCTTCCACACACTTTCATTTGATTAGTAGAAAGTTATGTTTCTTGCTTTAGACACTGACAACCTTGGCTCGATCGACAAGGTCAAATAATATAGAAAACAAGACAGTGTTTTGCAAGGAATGGATGTTGCCCTTATCCCATATATATATATACACAAAATGACATACATACACGTATTAATCCTTTATATGTTCTCTAGCAATACTAGTTGCACCTTCGGGCAGGGGCGAACCGAGATCATTTTTCTTGTGAGATCAAAAATGAGAATTCAAAAATGTTTAGGTAAAAAAAAAACTCCAAAAAAAAAAAAAAAATTGTGGGCTCATTTGACCCTATGTGGGTCCGCCCCTGCCTTCGGGGCATTACTATAATGCCTACAAGTTTAATGAAATACTTGGTATGAAATAAAAGTCAACTTATGTAGTTCAAAAAGGGGAAAAGAAAGAAAGCCACTTGTGATATTATTGTGATCGTTATTGCTCTGATAGTCCTCACTGTCATAATCTTAATTAATTTTGAGTTGGGAAAGTGAGCCTCATTAACATGGATTTAGACTTCTATTACAGAGGCTGCCATTTATTTATAGAAGCCAAAAAATGAAGGCTACATGCAAGTAGCCAAATATTAGGATAGTTGCACCAAATATTAGGCACGTCGTATTCTGTGTACACGCTTTGCAATAACTGTGAGAAGTTTGGTCAGAGATCATATTAGGAATTAGGAAACACGAAGAGCCTTTTCTTTTGCAGTCATAATTCTCAAGACAACGAATTTTCTTACTCCACCATAAAGATTAGGGTCCGTTTGATTGCAATGGTTAAAAATAGGTGGAAAGAAAATGTATTTCAGGAAAAGTAATTGTCTAAAAATTATTTTTCAGTAAATTGTTAATTAAGTGTGTTTGATTGGTATAATTTTTCACCCGGAAAAATTTTGAAATTTTGGATTTTTTGTTCACGTTTGGCTTTATTTTACATGAAAATTGTCCGTTAAAGTGAATTTTTTTCCACAATTGGTTATAAAATTTGTTTCCATTGCAAAGAAAAAAAAAACCAAGCAAAAAAATATATTTTTTAGAAAATCATTTTTTCATCAAAATTTCGTGTTCGTTTGACTTTGTTTTATATGGAAATTGTCCATTAAAGTGATTTTTTTTTTACAATTGAGTATTGAATTTATTTTCATTGTAAAAAAAGATTAAAAATTAAAAAAAAAAAAAAGTGCCGTCAACTGGGAAAAGCAATTCCCACCAAATAGGTGGGAAAGTGAGAATTGATTTTCCCCAAATTCAAGGAAAACAAGGCGCGTGAGAGACTTTCAAAAAAATAAATTGCCATCAAAACTTTACACATCAAACTCACAATTTGCAAGCAAAAGGAAAATAAATTCCATTTTCCATGAAAAAGGGGTGTTATCAAACGTGTTATAGATACTTAAAAATGACACTCTCGAAGAACTTTAAA